GTAGTCACCCATGGCGTTATACACTTGACCGATGTTGCTGTAGGAAGCAGCCAAATCGGGATGATTCGTAGGCAGGGCTTTTTTCGTGATTTCGAGATCTTTTCCATAAAATTCAAGTGCTTTTGAGTAGTCACCCATGTCGTTATACACTAGACCGATGTTGCTGTAGGAAGTAGCCAAATCAGGATGATTTGGAGGCAGAGCTTTTTCGAGGATTTGATGTGATTTTTCGTAAAATTCAAGTGCTTTCGAGTAGTCACCCATGTCGTTATACACTCCACCGATGTTGGTGTAGGACATAGCGAAATCGTGATGATTCGGAGGCAGAACTTTTTCTCTTATTTTAAGTGACTTTTCGTAAAATTCAAGTGCTTTCGAGTAGTCACCCATGTCGTTATACACTTGACCGATGTGGTTGTAGGAAGTAGCCAAATCGGGATGATTCGGAGGCAGAGCTTTTTCTTTTATTTTATGTGCTTTTTCGTAAAATTCAAGTGCTTTCGAGTAGTCACCCATATCGCCATACACGTGACCGATGTTGTTGTACGAGATAGCCAAATCGGGATGATTCGGAGGCAGAGCTTTTTTCGTGATTTTGAGATCTTTTTCGTAAAATTCAAGTGCTTTCGAGTAGTCACCCATGTTCTGATACACTCCACCGATGTTGTTGTAGGTAGCACCTAATGAAGGATTATCTTGCGGAAGAGTTTTTCGATTGATTTCAAGTGATTTTTCGAAAAATGAAGCTGCTTCTTTGTATTCTCCTTGGCCTTGCTTTACGCATCCAAGCTGGTGATAGATAAGTGCTTTATCGCTATCCTCGGAGGCCTGTTCTAGTAGTGCCATGTACAATTCTTCAGCCTTGTTGAATTGCCCTATTTTGAGCAGCAACGTACCCAGTCGATACCATCCTTCGCCGTCAACGTCTTCGCGTATATAATCAGTCAAATCGCGGAGCTGTTGGTCGTCATCTGATGTAAGTTTAAGATCCACTTCATAAAGTGGAGTTTCCTCATTCATCTCCCGAACATTGACAATACGAAAAACCGTGTGCATGGAGAAGAGTGTTTCCTTTTCGCCCTTGTAATAGCTCACCTCTTCGATGGAGGCAAAAGGTGTTGATGAAACTGTAGTATCTACGGTCATTTTAAAAAGAATGCCAACCATATTTTTGTTTTTTGAGGCTTTTTCAGCAAAACCGAGAGATACTTTGCGGTCTGTACTCGTTGATAAAAAATTACTGAATGATATTAAGCCACCTTGATTAGCTGTGAGCTTTTCACAATCAGTTGCTGACAATCCTTGACCTCGATATACGATGAATGATTGTTCATTATAATGGGTGATCTGTCTCTTGTGAAGATCTTCAATTTGTTGGTGAACATCACGTAGGAAGAAGCCCATCCTAATGATGATATCACCATCCAATGTTCTTAATGCTTTATTGAGCATTTTGTATGCGAAATACGGACTAGTATACCACCATATGGCTTTTGATGGCTGATAACTCCTTCCGAATTCTTCAATATCTTCTATTTCTTGTTCATCGTCTTGATATTGTTTACGGCAATATTCTGCCAACTCTTGAATGGCTTGTTGTCCGTGATCCATATCAAGGAGTGTTTCCTTGAATATTTGCGTGTACATAAAGGAAGGTTCTAGCTGATTAAGATCTTTGCTAGAACCAACTTCATTTTTACCGATGATACTGATCGTCGTCTGATCTTGATCAGATTGTTTGACGGTCAGTTCCAGTGCGTTGCATATGGGCTCAATCGACGTAAAAACATCTTTGATCTTTGCCCAGGCTTTTGTCCATGCATTGCCCTGTGATTCGTTGCCACAGAAAATGTATATGGCATTCAATTTTGACATGTCATGAATATCTGGTACCAGCTGTTGTCCCAATATATCAGAGACAATCACGAATGATGTCTTCTCGTTGTTTTCTTGGAGTTTCTTAATACATTCCTCTGCCGTAGTACATATGTTGACTTTAGTGGCAACAGCTTCGAGTTGCTGCAAACTTTTCTGGTAATCTTCGTTGGCCGTATTGATGTTGGCGTCGACCCAGATCACCAAATTGTTTTTGGTCATACGTCGTCTTCGTTGCGGATTCATTTGGACCGTTGTATTGGTTTTTTGATGCTTATTTGTGAATGATATGATAGTAAATTGCCGTATGCTGAAACCTTACTTGCTTTATTTATATGTTCGATGCTCTGTGTTTTTTTCTTGTTGTTTTTTTCTACGTAGTCTAATGTGGGTTTTTTCCCGTGATATTCAATAACAAACTACACTTCGTGTCAATTGAAGATACGGTTGTCAAAAAAAAGTAATTAAATATCGAAAAAAATCAACGATGTCATTTACTTTATGATTAGTTTTTCTTCAATTTTCGTTTGTCATTCATGCGTGCAATAACTTGAATCTCGCTGCATATTAGATACGTTGTCTCGCACGTTGTATATTCTTTTTCTCTCTCTATTAAGAGTGAGGAAAATAACAAGAACAACATTAATTTGATTTTTTTCCTGATAATTATGTATTTGATTGTCATGTTGATAATGTGAATAAAATAGGAAGAAGTATAATTTCAATTTTAATTGAAACAAATCATTGAAAAATGATTTTTTTTTTTGTTGAAAATACTGTTGATCATTAACCAGTGACTTGAACAAAAATAATTGCTCCGATTCATCAAATGGAAAATGAATGAAACACTTCAATGAGCACTTTACTATTACGTAGTAAAAAAATCAGTTGATAAATTCGACATTTTATTAGTTATCGTTCAGTTTTTTTCAGAAAAATAATTGAATACAAAATTGATATCTATCGTAAACAAAGATTTTATTACATTAGTAACGGTTTCTTAGATTTAAATTCTCTAACAGGACGTTTGTTTTTTCTAGCAATTTAACTTCACTGTCCCTTCAATTTACATGTTTACATTAAAATACTTTTGAAAATTTTCGTTATTTATATAATACCATGATTTATTGTTCAATACTCAGTTAGTTAGTAATCCTGACAAGAAAGAAGAATTTTCATATACAATTTTTTCATTTTATTCTATTTTATTTTATTTTGAGACGTTTAGTTAATTATGTGCACATCAACTGTGAATTTTTTCTATTGCGTTCTCACACATCATATGCCAATGGCCTCTTTTCGTTGTTTGATGTATTTTCTTGCTGTGATAGGTTTCTTGCTTTTCTCTTGATCGCTTCCTTATCTATTATTTCATGTGTTCATCTTCATTGAATAAATTGAACGTACATTCATTAAAAAAAACACTCAAGAAAATTACAATATTCATCTGAATAACGGGGAATCACACATATCTATTCTTTTATAAGAAGAAAAAGATCAAAATGATGCAATTACTGATAAAGTAGTATCTATTCAATGAGCAAACTTAACTGTTGTTGGGTGCAAAATTTTGTGTTGATAGTTAGATTTGTTTACTTATAAAATTTATATATGAATACACATCTAATTCTATCTAGAAAATTACACAAATTTCAAATTCAATTTAATATTCAGAATAACATTAGACTACATTTTCACCTATATTTCGATAGAATAATCATTACTTGAATTAAACTTGAATTAAAATAAATTTAGCTTCCTTTTGGCTTTTACGACCAAAAGTAAATACGAAAATTTCACTTATATTCGAACTCATGTCAGAGAAGTACTACTAAATTCATAGCTTTTTTTTCCATTGAGATTATACCAAATATGTATAATGATAAAATTGTTTTCTTACAGTATATTAACTAGTATTCCTTCATTAATTTCTAGGATCCATAAATTAAGTTGATATTTAAAATATGTTTGCATGAATGCAAGATTAACACAGTTTCAAAGTACATCACAGTGATAGAGGGCAAACATCTAAATTCACTTACAAATGACAAATAATGAAAAGAATTGCTAGAGTTTCTGAAAAAAAAATCGATATAGATATATGGAAAGTATGACTTTCTTTTAACTCTAAAGTAATAAAAAACGTACAAGGTACTTTCTATTATGTACTGTCATCGATCTTTTTTCTTTTGCTCGTGACTGTACACTGAGGTAAAACGGAGGGGTGGCCAAGGATTGAGAAATAGGAATTCCTACTCAGTTCTCTGACATTTCGTTGAATGCTAAAATTAAAAAAATACAATATCCACGGTACTTATTACTCTTACACTCGTTTTCATCAAGAAATTTGTGCACATTAACGTATGAATACGAAAATTATTGCAAAAAAAGCATTATTTTGACTTTCATGAATGAGGAAACTGTGATAGAAATAATTAATCATCAATTCCCATTTCCCCAAGGAATTATCATAGCTGCACTGACAATTCCTCTGCAAATTAGGAATTCCTATTTCTCAGTCCCCGGACACTGCTGTAAAATCGAGTATTATACAAAAACCAACAAAAAGAATGATGAATGCCAGAGTGTTCATCTATTGCAATAAAAAGAAAAAAACCGATACAATGTCAAATTGAGATTTTGTGGCTAAACTATTCATCACGATTGATCATGGTTACAAATACAGAGCATCCACATATGAAATATATTGCTTTCTTCGAAGAAAATAAATCAAAATAATTACTAGAAGATGCTATGACTTAACATTTAGAAAGGTAGAGAAAAGACACAAGTTGTTTGTCGATATGAATTACTTCATTAGAACTTTTCTGACAACTTAGAAAACAAAATTCAGCATACTGAACAGTACTCAAAACATTTCTTCTGAGTTCACTGGACGCCTAAAGAGAAAACAAAAAAAAATCCTACTAACTTAATTCATTATATCAAAGTCAGCCTATTA